CACCCCAGAGGGTCTATGATGTCAGAACAAATGCTGTGGGATTTTCAAAGCGGAGGACATCACCCAACCAGGGCTACTAAGGAAAACATATAGAACATTGTACCTTGGGAAATTAACATTAACAAGAAGAGCATGTAGGCTTGTTACAAAAGGTATAAAGATGAGAAAGACAACTTTGCCCGTGAAGTGCTCCTGTCTTTGAGTGGGGACAAGAAAAGAGGCAACAGCAGCAGTGAGGGGGGAGAGACAAAAGCCACTCACTGGGGGTCATCTGTCACCTGTGGTCCAGAAAGCAGGCTTAGAGGCAAGTCAGAGCTACCTGGGGTAAGTCCACAAAGGGAAAGGGTCAGTGTGTGTCAAGGCCAGTGTCAGGGAGAATGAGCCGGTACACTTCAGGAATTCTGTGGCCCATTATGTTCTGTCCCAGAACTAGATGACAAGAGGTAAGGCTACCTGAATGGGCAGATCAAGCACCACTAAGACCATCAAGTGGAGCATGGGAGTGGCCTTGAAGGATGCATCATGATATATCTCTTAAGAAGACTGCTCAAGACACCTAGTGGAGATGACGGCACCTGAGCTGAGGAAAACAGGGTCTTCATGGTGAGCCACCCCCCTCAGGGTCCTACCGTACTGTAGATCAAGGTAAGTGGCCTATTCCCAGTGAAGACAGGCAGCGCTACACTCCCTTGTTCCCGCCCTGCCACAAACCTTATTCCGGCAAATTCTGTGCTCCCAAATGCCACAGAACTCATAACTTTTATTCAGCTGCTGTAAGACTGTGGTGAGTATTCTGTAAGACCAAGAGTCTCAGGTTTGACAGCTGACACCTGGGTAGTCGATAGTAAACCAAGACCTGGAAAAGCAGAGGCAAAAGAAGGCCGATTCATGACTTTCATGTGTCCAGTTATGACACTGTGCTACATAAGTCTGTATGACTGAAAAATCTAAAACGGCTGTTTTGGACACCATCTCATAGACCTTCTGCTCCACGCATGATTCTTCCTCATTCAAAAATTCTAAGAATGCTACAAATTTTAGCTTCCTAGTAGGAAACATAAGGAAAAGATTTACTAAACACCTACTTTGTAATATGCTACAACATAACACCATACTCAAAAGAAATTCTTCTGTCCCTAATTTTCAAATGAGAAGGCTCAAAGCAAACATCTCTAAACTGAGATTTAAGCCCCTGTCTGATTGGATATATGTCCATGAAATCTTGTGCATTCTTTGGAACGAAACTATGCCAAGTTCATCCAGGATTTATTTTAGAGGTATTCCCTGGCAATTAAGAATATCTTATCTTAGTTATCCGATGCCAATTAAGAAACAATACCCAAATTCAGAAGCTTAAAACCACAAATATTTTCTTAGCATTTCCACCACTCAACAATCAGTATAGCTTACTTTGTACCTCTGATTTGAGTATCTTTGAGGTTGTAGTCAAGACATCAAAAGGACTGCAGCCTGATGGGAAGCATGAAGGCTCCCATGGTGGCAGGCTGAGCTTAGTCCCTCACCAGGTTTCCTCATACCACAACACTTGGCTTCCTTCAGGGGACGATGCCAAAAGAGGAAGAGAGACATTGAATGTCTCTGGTCTTTTCATTACCCAATCCCAGGAGGGACATCCTGTCTGTCCTACTGTGTTCTATTTGTGAAAATCAAGACAGCAAGTCCAGCCTACACTTCAGAGGAGGGGGCAGGATGGGGCTATCCAGGGTCAGGGATTACCAGAGGGCAGTTTATAGGCTGAAGACTTCAGTTTAGAGAGCATTTGGTCAGGTTATCCAGGCTGTTTCCCCAACTGGCGAATTGTTTCCTCTTCCTGTGTGGCTGCTTCCTCTGAATAGAAACATTCTCTTCAGGAGGCAGGAGAGAGGTTCAATAAGACTCCAGAAGGCAATACAACTTAGAAGGCCCAGAAAGCTCATGAAAGCTACAGGATTCACAAGGCCCCCTCTCAAGCTTGTAAAAGCCGGGGCCTAGAAACTCTTCTGACTACACTACCATCTGTGCAGAGAGCCCCAGCGATATGGCTTTCTTGCACTGTCATCCACATGGGAGTGGTGTAGGAGGTTCTTCTCTCTGTGTGTTGCTTTCATGGGTTGAATAAAGAAACTGCCTTGGCCTTTTGATAGGGCAGCACTTAGGTAGGAGGAGCAGACAGAACTGAATGCTGGGAAGAAGGACAGAAGAAGAATCGCCATGGAGCTGCCAGAGTCAGACATGCTAAATTTTTCCCGGTAAGCCACAACCTTGTGGTGAACACAGATTATTAGAAATGGGTTAAATCAATATGTGAGAATTAGCCAATAAGAGGCCAGAGCTAATGGGCCAGGCAGTATTTAAATGAATACAGTTTCTGTGTGATTATTTCGGGTGTAAATTAGTCAGGGCAGCCGGGACAAAAAGCAGGCCCTCCCTCCAACATGGGAGTGGGCTTTTGGTGATAGCCTTGTGCCTCCCATGCTCCTATTAGTAACCCCAACAAATTTCCTGGTTCCTCAGACTAGACTTGGGTGGAATTATTCCTCTGGTCTGTCATGGATACCCTATCTGGAATGAATAGACATCTGTTCACATTTCAAAGCTGGGGACCTCCCATGTCCATGTTATTCTGGGGGTGGTGGTAGAGGATTTGGGGAACTTCAATGATACCTGGGGGTGCTGTTGTGCCCATTTCTTGATGCCCAAATCACAGTCACATTTGTAAATGCTTGTGTAGTGAACCTAGCAGGCACATGGGTGTGTGTTTGAAGGGGGTAGTTTTTTCAAATTATGGCTCCTGAACCCTTCCCACCTTATTATTTTTTTTAAGATTTATTTATTATTTATACAATGTTCTTCCTACATGTAACCTCCATGCCAGAAGAGGGCACCAGATCTTACTAGAGGTGATTGTGAGCCATTATGTGGTTGCTGGAAATTGAACTCAGGACCTCTGTGTTATTCCCCAGAAAACCTCTGAGCGTAGTTCTCCTGGGGAACTACACTCTGGAAGAGCAGTCAGTGCTCTTAACCTCTGAGCCATCTCTCCAGTCTCCCCCCCCCCCCCCACCTTGTTCTTAAACTGTTGTGAAGTCCTCCAGCAAGGAGGAAGGAATGGATGCTGGCCATTCCTAAGGAGAGGAACCATCAGCTGGAGAGTCTTGGGTATTTTGCTGTCTTCAGGTTTATTTTGTTTTAAGTGCATGAGTGTTTTGCCTGAATGAATACATGTGTACCATGTATGTACCTGGAGCCAGTGGAAGTCAAAAGAAGGCATCAGATTCCCTGGAACTGAAGTTCTGAATGGCTGGGAACTGAACCCTGGTCCTCTTCAAGAGCAACCAGCACTCTTCACCATCCAAGTCTTCTCTCTTGTGGGGTTTTCCTCAGTTCCCGTCTCATGCTGTCCAGGTCTGTCAGTACCACAGCGACTGGCAGAGCAGATGCTCCAGAAACATCCTGAGGAGGGAGGGGATAACAAGTCAGTGTGTGCACGGGTCATACTCCTTCAGTAGCTCTTCTGTGCAATCAAAAGGGTATACAGAGACACACAGGTACAGACAGACAGACCTGCAAACATAGATGTAGCAGTGTAAGCAAAATCATAAGTGTTGTGCGTACCTGCCCCGTCTACCCCTCTGCCTCACCACTGAGCAGTCCTGATGGCTAAAGCACCTCTATTGCTCAGACCTCTGTAATAGCTGCCAAACTGGCCTGTGCCATCCATCTATCTAGTCACTCTCCCCTGGGCTATCTTTCTGGACAGCAAATCTGTCAAGGTCAAAAGGCCTACCTAACTGATCTTGGCGAAAAGCCAAGCCTTCTGGATAGTCTCCAAGACCCTAAGTAGCCCTCCCGTTTCATCTTACCTCCTGTTTTGGTTCCAGCCATACCACAAGCTGTTACAGGTACCTACATGAGACTATCGTGCCTTCCGTGTCTAGCAGATAATTCATGCAGCCACTTCCACAAGGAAACATTCTCAAATCGCGCTCTCCAGTCTGGGACAGGAACGTTAGAGCCTGAATCAACACATTTTCCTCACAGGACTGGATTACAGTTGCTTGTCTTCTGTGTCTATGGAAAAAAAAAAGAAAAAAAAAAACAACCAACCAACCAACCAAACAAAAAACCCGGACACTTTCTGATCTAGAGTCTTTGCTAGAAGACCATCAAAGAGAAGTGAGGTCAGTTAGGACTGTGGGATGGATCTGATGTTAAGTCTGGGATCGCAAGCAGGTTGCCCTGGCCAGGAATCTTCACTTTCGTCAAGGAAACAAACGTGGAAGAAGTACAGAGGGTCCCTTGCTTTGGCCACACCCTCTTCCTTATCTCTGAGCTCAGGCTAGGGAGCTGCCCAATATCAGCGCCTGGAGTCTTCTAAGCAAAGAGCCTTCTCTCTGGCCTCAGGTGGGGGGGGGGGGGGGGGGGGGAAGCGCCTTGGAGCAGGTGCGGCATGAAATTGGCTTTGAAAGATGAGTTGGAGTCTGGCTTCAGAAATAAAGTGTGTGTGCCTAAGGCAAGGGGTTATATTAAAGCATTCTCTTTCCACGTCGCTGTTTCCCACACGCCATGAGTACAGAAACCAAAGCTCTCTGGTGACGGTGGTGTCTCCTCTCTTTATCCCCCGCCCCCAGGAGCATCCACCTCAGCTCTCCAGACACGCTTGAATGAATGGGGAAAGACCCGTGCGCATGAATGAACGCGTGTGTGAGCGAGTATCCAGGGCAGCCAGCCGGCAGATGAGTGAATGGCGTCCGTGCCACTTCGGCTCAAGGGCGCGGGCGCGGGTTCCACTTCCCACTCCCGCCAGCTGGTGGCCTCCAGAAGGTGGCAGAGGCGGCAGCGGCCCGAGCTGGGACGGCCCGGGCGCGGGATGGTGGGGGAAGGGGCGTTCCCGGCGGCCGCGCCTTCCGCGGCTATTGGATTAGTGGCCTTCAGGGATGAGCTCAGCCGGATCGGCTTTCAGCTGCAGCCTCCGGGCCGGCCGGGAAGGCGGGGAGCGAGCGGCCGTGGAGGAGGAGGGGGAGGCGGCGGCTGCAGCATCCAGAGCTGGCCCTGGCAGTCGGCGCGCCCGGCGCACAAAGGCGCTCAGCCCCTGGGGAAGGCGATGAGCGCACCGCAGCCCGGGCCCCGGCCACCGCTGCAATCATCGCGGCGTGCGCCCGGGGCGCTAGGGAAGAAGCCGGGCACTCCAGGGACTGGCGGCCGTAGTGCGGCCCGTGCGCCCTAAGCGCGGGACTCGCCACTCTCCGGGTCAGGCGCCAAGCTTCGGGGAGGCCAGGGCGCCGGCTTACGCGCCCCCCTGAGATCGGTGCAGTCGGGTGCTTTACCACCCGGGACCGGACCTCGGAGCCCTCTTGCCGCTCCTGAGCGCCAACTTCGCCAAGAACGTCCCTAACTCCAGGGCACCCTGCGGGAAGAGAGGGCTCTGCTGCCGGGCACAAGCCGAGAGGACGCGCCGCTGGCGGAGAAGCCAGCATCCGCGGGGTCGCTCGGGCGCCCCTGAGTGGGCAGCAGCGGCATCTGACCTCTCTCCTGGGAGTCCCGGACCTGCCAGCGCTGGGGATTCCTCCCGGGCAGGCGCTCGCCCTCTCTTTTATGGTAAGTGTTCTCCAGCTCCTGCTAAAGGGTGCTCGCCGGCCGGCACCGGTCACACCCGGTGCTCTTGGGGTCCCTCTGGTCGCGGTCCACGGGAATGTTTCTGCAAATTGTGACAATCCAAGCTGGTTGGTTTGCGCCGGGGCATTGAAGCCAGCCCCTGGTACTGTGGGTTTGAGACAACACAAAAAATTGCTCCCGAGTCACCCGGCTATGTTTCGGTCGTACATCCGTCACTCTCTGGGGTGACCTTGGGCCAAGCACCACAATCTCGATCTCCTCATCCGGAAGATGGGGGTTATGATTTTGCCCATTTTACTAGAGTATTGGAAGGAACTGCAGGGTGGTGCGGAGACCTGCGCCTGGCATTCGGGAAGCACTCAGTCAGACACTAGCTAGCTTTAATATTAGCCTCGTGAGCTCCAGCACATCATTCAACTTCCCGGAGCTGCGGCAGCTGCCTCAGCTGTGTGGCGAGGACAGTAATTTCTGGGGGTCCGCTCGTCGTTGCGGAAGCAAAGCACCTCGCTCTCACTAGGCGCTGGTGGTGATCATTATGGTTTATTTCCGACACTGGGGCAGTGAAGACTGATTGCTCGGCCGGACGAGAGCGGCTCGCGGCCGTGGGAGACAAACTTGGAGAGAATAGGGAATCAGCCCTGGGCGAGGAGCTATGGGAAGCAGGGGGGAAACCAAAGCCCAGAGTGTGACGAATATGTCCACCCTGGTTGAGCCAGGAAAAACAAGGGACCCCAAACATCTGGCTGGTGAGGGCCAGGCAGTGTGGCTCCCACCGCCCGATGGTCAAGCGCGGGCTGCTGAGCCAAGAAGAGAGAAGAGACACATTTGTGCAGCTGTCTCTAGAACTCTTGGCACTGCAGTCCTGGGCTTGAATTCGAATTCTGCTTCCAGCACCAGCCCGAGGGTGTGACCTTGAGCTGGTTCTCTAAGATTCGCAGCTCTTCCGTGCCTCCTTTCCCCACTCTTCTCTCTCCCTACTCCAGGATTTGGGTGTGAACTCCTCCTGTTATCTTCCCACTCATCCTCCCCCCCCCCAAAGTTGTTGAGACTATTTAGATCTGAAAGTGGGTAAGGGAAAAGTTAACTCTTTGCACCCTGCCCTGTGGGAAGCACTCACCCCTGAGGCTTCAGATTTGTTTCCTCACTTTGACACTCGGGTCTTTCAACTAAAGCCTGCTGTTTCTGTTACTCAGGCTGATGGAGGATCCTTCAGACTCTCTCCACAAGACCCTTCCCCAAGCCATTCAGTATTGATTTGGGGCTGCAGATAAGCTCACTTCGGAGAAAAAACAAAATGTCAAAAGCGTGATAGAAACAGACTTTACAGGAGGCCACAGTTCTTGAGACACACAGGCCAGTTTCATGTTTAAGCTTCCATTATTAGCAAGGGCAGTAAAAAGAACTCAAGCCTTTTGCAAGCTGTAAACAAAATTCACCAGTCATGCCGCCCAAATAGCCCCCCAGTTTGCGTTGCTCTTTAATTCTAAAGACTGATGCAGTCAGTGACATAGAAATAAAATCTGCAGGGAAAAGCACTTGCCAAAAGCAGTTGAAAGCCATGAGAAACTGGGGAAAGAGTTGCTACTTACTGCGACGGGTTCATATCTTCCAATTCGTAACAGGTTTGGGGTGTGTGCTGGGAACGGAACCCAGGTCTTTGTGCAGGCTAGACAAGTGCTCCACCCCCGAACTCTAGCCTCAGCCCAAAATGTGTAAAGAATCTTCAAGACAAGCAAGTGCCCCAAAGGACAAAGGCTACAGACAATTCGTGCGCACGGAGTGAAACAGAAATCACACGAAAACCTGTGTGCCTTGCCTCACTCAGTTAGAAAAAATTGTGTGCAAAAGCCATCAGACTCGGTTGTTCAGACATCAGATGAGCAAATAGTAATAACCGTTCACCAGTAAGAAGCCTTTATCCTTAAAAACGTAAACAGACCAAATTCCTCCCTAGTTAGAACTTCCTCAAGGCTGCCAGGAGTAAAAACTGAGCATGCCCTGTAGGCCTGACTTCCACGGGCACCACCTTCTTTCTCATTCTCCGTCTCTCCCCCACCTGAGACCCTGGCCTACGATCTTGGTTTTGCTCCAGCACTCCCAGGGTTTATTCCTCTCCGGACTCTCACCCCACCCCAGTTGGTCACAGGTCCAGAACCTTGTCATCCTTCATGGAAATCTGTTCTGGAGACTTGGTTCATCTCCCAGGATGTGACTGTGGCTAAAGCTCAGGCCCAAGGCAAGGTCTTTGCCCCTTGAGGAAAAGGCTCAGTGCAACTCGCCGTACTCCAGTTTGTTAATTTTTTTCTAAGCTGTCTGGCTCACTGCCACACATCGGTGCTCCTGAAAGGGCCGTCCTCTGTTGGCACAGTAACAAAAGATCTCCAGGAGCTCCCTAGATAGAACAAGAAGCTGGATGTGGAAAATCAGGAGGGTGGAAGGACCTAGGTCCAAGTCATCAGAAGTCTTTCCTGGTAATCTTTTTTTTTTTTTTTAAAAGGTACTTAATGTATGCACTTAACTTGTGTGAGCATGATCGTTCATACTCGGCAAAAAGATCAATAATAAAAAATTAAAAATCTAGCAGCATATTTAAATAAAACATGGTCCCTGCATGAGCCGACAGACTTTCCTGATGCTGCTCTATTTCAGGCGTCTGTTCTGGGGCTGCAGGAAGCAGCTGTCTGGCCCATCCTTTGGGAAAGACCCCAAATGAGCTGTCATAAACTTTGTGGAGTGTTGATTGCATGGGATTGATTCTTGCTTCCCAGGTTGAATGTGGAACGTAACCCACATTTCAAATGCATACCTCAGTTGTGGAAAAAAAATTCTTTTTGGTAAAAATACAAATGATTCAGTCCATCAAGCATTTCTTCTAGTTTTTTTTTTTCTCTCACCTTACAGCCCATGCTAGACTAGACCTCACAGTGGATCCCAGGCTGGCTCCAAACTCTCAATCTTCCAGACCCCTCCAGGTGTGGGCCATCACACCTGCCCGACAGGCACTTCTTAATGCAGACAGGTAGTGTGCACAGGACTGGTCCAGAAGATGGGTGGCCGTCAGGTGGACACAGGTTAGCCTTCTAGAAAGAAGCATGTGATGCCGGAGACATCCGTGGGACTAGATTGTTAGGATGACATCGAGGGGCAGAGAGATGCAGAGAAGGGTGCACGGAGGTGTGCGAGGGTGTCAGTAGGCAGTGGCAGAGAGCAAGTCCCCGAAGCTTGGGGTGAGAAGGGGTAAGCCGACTTGAGAGCTCAGTATCACCGCTTGGAGAAAGACTATAAGGAGGGATTGACTGTGAAGCCCTTGGGTGTCAGCCTAAGGAGTGCATGCTTAAATGAGAAAGTGGTGGGTAACTGGATTGGTTAGAGTTCCAAGATGAGAATCATAGATCCTCCCTGGGAGACTGCTCCAGTAATTCCACTAAGGTAGAAACCAAGGGGGACGAGAAGGTACTGAGTGGGAGCGACTGACAGAGAGGAACCTGGATTATGGAGATGGAGGAAGCTGAGCTCAGCCCAGGTCACGTGATTCTCAGATATGCCACAGTGTTGGGAAGGTGGCCACGTGCTCGGTGGAAAGCTTAGAATGGAAAGACACACTACAGAGTCATCAAAGGAGCATCCAGAATGGCCAGAGGCTAGGTGAGGGAGGGCAGGCAGGACTAGGGACACTGCAGAGGCTAGGTGAGGGAGGGCAGACAGGGCTAGGGACATCTGCAGAGGCTAGGTGAGGGAGGGCAGACAGGGCTAGGGACATCTGCAGAGGCTAGGTGAGGGAGGGCAGGCAGGGCTAGGGACATCTGCAGAGGCTAGGTGAGGGAGGGCAGGCAGGGCTAGGGACACCTGCAGAGGCTAGGTGAGGGAGGGCAGGCAGGGCTAGGGACACCTGCAGAGGCTAGGTGAGGGAGGGCAGGCAGGGCTAGGGACATCTGCAGAGGGATGCAAGGACAAATTTAAGAAAAGATGCACAGAGAGGAGGGGACAGAGTCTTAGATGTTGCCTTGAGATGTTGCACGCGTAGAGCAGGCAGGAAAGTTGGTGTGACTTCTCTGAGTGCCATGCGTTGCTTGCAGTAGTGCAGGGCAGCTCCAGCATCACCTTCGTGGGTTGTGATCCTGTGAACTGCGTTTATGGGGGACCACACCTCTGCCTTTTAGAGAGGTGAGTGAGCTTGGCCCAGTTAGCTGGCCCGTAAAGGCGTTCCCACCTGTTAGCCACAGTCTGTGCGATAAGTGAGGGAAGGATAAGAGTCCTAGGGGTGGAGCGCTTCTCACAGGCGGGTCCCTCCTGTCTGCCTGCATCTCCCTTTTCCTCCCTTCCTCTTTCCAGGCCTGATGTCTGCAGCACACCCAGAGAGATGCCCCAGGCTCATGAGAGGGATTCCTAAGCGCCTGTTGCAGTCCTCTAGATTTCCCTGGATGCTCGAATGGTCCTGCTTCTCTCTCAGGAACGCTGCTTTCAGACAAGTGCTTATGTGCAATGAGTTACACTCATCTTGGGAGAGAAATGAGGGGTTAGACATGCAGATGACTGGTTCCTTTAATAGATGGTTTCCCCGAGGGTCCCCCCTGGCAGCCCTTCCTCAGCCTCTTTCTCCCATGCTTTGCCCCATTGTGAACCAATGCTGGCCTCACAGAGAACAGCTGTGCTACAAAACAAAACCACAGGTCCCCACGGCACCGCCAACTGGGACTTCCCATGGTCCCTCTGGATCTGACCTATGTCTCTATCAAATGACCTTGTACAGCATGCCAGCCTGGTCACTACCACCCAGCAAACCTCCTGCCTCCCAGCTCCTGCTCTTCCTGCTGGCTTGCAGCTGAGCTTTTATCTTCCCTCCCACCCCCCAGCCTCTGACTCTGTGTGGGAGGAGGATTCCCATGGAAACCCCAGGAGGAGGGGAGGCCGGGGAAGCCTCATTGATTGAGCTCTAAGAAGATGGGACCGGCAGGAGTCAGGAGCCGGCCCCACCTGGACTG